CTGGGATCATTTGCGGACCCGTACAGAACAACTAAGTGACACGTTTGTGCTTCTGTATTTTTCCGATAGCGACAACTAGCGACATCAGCACACTTTTGGAATCATTGGAGGACTTTAACAACCAAGAAGGTGCCTTTCCAAAGCCCAACTGAACGTAACGGACATAGCATATTGCAACAATGCTGCACTAGCAACATCTAACATCTTGCAACATATTTCAGCATGGTGACCAAAAGAGTGCATGCAAAACAATGTTACCATTACATTAAGTGCACCTTCTTCGGCGTAAGGGGAGGATAGTAGGAAGATGGAAGTCAGCTTCCACAATGACAGGAAATATATATTCTAAGCCCACTTTATTAGTCTCTTTGAAGTTATCTGTAATAAAGGCCACGGTTTAAAATTTGGGAACTAAGTAATTGTAATCCCATTGCCATACGTCTGCGAAAGGTATAAAGCCTTGTGTAAAAGAACTATATATTTTTTTTAAGTTGAAAAGAAAGATTTGGAACACGAGTTGGCCATGGGCAGTGAGGAAAATGAAACTCTCCGACAATTTACATGCGTTCTGTTTAATTTGTATTATTTAGCCATTCACCCTGGTCCTCAAAGCCGTTGAATATAACTTTTATTGCACGTCTTCTTGTAGATATCACAGACGAGCTGGAAAGGATAGAAAATAATGAGGAACTGACGACAACTAGTGAAGACCGTGATGATACTGAGAAATATGGTGAGATACATGTATTATCCATAGAGAAATGCGCGATGTCATTTTCTGATGACTCTAAATAATAGGTTAATTTTTGGAAATTTAAGGTGACTCTGAATCCTCTCGGCAGATTTGTTTTAAACTTTGCAAAAAGGGAATTTATTTTACCAAAATAAATGATTTTATGTAGCTTGTGACCTAACTAAACCCAGTACTTGGTTGGGGCAGTTTCTGTCGTCCGGGATATAGATATCGTTAAATGTGGTCCACCATCTCTCTTGTGCAGCATACTCAGTAAGTGAAGGGAATTTTCTCTCCCTCCACACTCCATTTTCTCTATTTTCTACATTAGCTGGTGGTTTCTCCCTCACCTTTGCTGGGCTAATACTTGGTATGTTTGTAATTCCTTCTAAGCCTGCTATCAAAATAAACGGCCACACCTTGTGGCCAATATATCACACTTGGGAGTGTTGAGTTTTATTACCCAGCAAACAGAGCTCAGCCAAAGCAGCATCCATATGAATTATGCATATCATTGTTGTTTTTAAGTTTGAGGAACAAGACACGTATTAAAAGGTGGTTCTTAGCATGTTAATACACAGTAAAAAGTGTGGTTCATCGAGCCGTTTTTTATTCATAAGCACATGAAGCTAACATGAAGAGGATTTTAGCAGGTTGTGCTGTTACTATGGTGAGCAATTATGTCATCAATGAAGTTACATGCAGCTACAACTTGTTCACCAATGATTAGGCATTTGTGTGATAATCATACTCTAAAGCCACTTGATAAAGAGTGGTAGTATAGTACAATACCGCAGTAACTGCTGGAAAGTGCCAGCCACTTTAAGCAGCCCTTTACATTGTTCGAAAGGGTTATGAGACAGTCCCCGTGTTTTAGTCTTATTGAGTGCCACAGGATTGTCAGTCACTAGGTGCTCTGTGTATGCGCCCCCGTTAAATTAAGTAGTTGTTGTTCATTTCTCATTGTTTTAGGTACAATGCCTGAGGTGCAGAGAATGTTGGCATCGCTGGATGCTTCAGTGGAAGACGCTCAACAAGGTATTTTTTTATTACTACCATATATCCTCGAGGTTGAGATGGTTTAAATGAGGCCATCAATGTGAAACACATGCAAAGTAACCTAACATGAGCAAAAGCAACCGGAACCGGAAGTTTCGGTAGAATATGAGTGATATTTGTGTTGCTACAGAAGTATTAATCTTTACGCATTTTTGCCACATAATGCACTTGGAGAGAACTCAGTGCACACGATTGCAATTGTATTGCCAATTATCCTATGCATTAGTCGAAAGGTAAACATTTTTTTTTTAATTAATGAGGGCTACTTGCATTGCTTAAACTTAAAGATATAAACTGTGAAGTTTTTTTTACCTAAAGACTCTAAATTGTGGCTAGTACCACAGGCCAGTTCATGCTTCTGCTTCACCTTCACAAACGTAATTATCAGACAGAATTTTCTATTACCATTAAATTTAGATCAACAGCAAATTTCTTACGAAGAAGTTGGATGCTTCAAAGACAACCAAGTCGATCCCAGACCACTGCCGGAACTGTTAGCGGATTTAACTGGTGAGGTGGACTGGTATGATCCGAGCAAAGTCACTAGAAAATGCGCTAGACTCGCGAGTGAGAAAGGTTATACAGTGTTTGGTCTTCAGTCATTTGGACATTGTAGAAGTGGTAAAGATGCTGCAGAAACTTACAACAGCGATGGAGATTCAGCCGGCTGTTTCGGTGGCTTGGGAGGCAGAGGAGAGAACCTGGTGTTTAAGATCATACCCCAAAGTAGGTTTTTAACGTAGTTAATCAGATCCAGGAGCGCAACATTATAAAATAGTGTTCGTTTACCAGGGCCGTAACCAGAAAAAAGCATGGCTGAGGCAATATAAATGTCCATGTTCAAATTCTCTTGCTAGGTGTTCAAGGTGTTTATTTCTTTACTAACAGTGTTTTATTTAATTACTTTACTCAAAGAAAGAAAAAATAACGACACAACGACAACAAAAGAGGATTTTAAAAAAAATGACAGAATGATTTTGTGTGTGTGTTTGTTTGCTTGTCTGTTTCCATTCATTATTATTTTAAAATTCTATTTTTTCAGGCCCTCAAGTGACTGTGTCCACTATAGCAGCCACAACTTCTCCGCCTGGTAATGAGATAATTCACAAAATGCATAATAGTAGGGTTACACCCAAATATGAACTTCCACTATTTTTTACATTCCCAAGCGATTTTTGTTTCATGATAACGACCGTCTCGTCTTTTTGAACTTACTTGCAATCGTGGTCACATGATAAAGAAGTGTCTTCAGTGTCTCAATGTGTGAGGCCAATTATTCACTCTTACTTCTTTGCTTCCTAAATTAAATGTCTATCTTCAGTCTCACGCATAGAAAAGTAACCCAAACGGCGTACAGCATTACTTTCGCTGGATCAGTTCCTTCTTTCTTTCCTTTTATTGTTTTTATACATTTCTGAACGAGAGGATTGGTTTCTTCATAACTTCTTAATCATTTTCAGTTATATGTCAATTTTCAGAACCTACAACATCACTCCCGAGTACAGAGCCACCAACTATACCACCAGGTAAATTCGCAAATACATCTGAATGTGTCTGGTGTCTTTTACTGCTGAAATGAATTGAATCACCCTTGCAGTGTACAAGCAATTTAAGCCATTCCGTTCTAACCTGAACAAAAACATACGCAAAATAATATTCAAAATTTTGACTGGATTCGAAACCCATGACCTCCCAAACGTCGGTGTGTTGGTGTAGCAAGTGGCCGATGAAGCCTTGATACGTTAAGGGCAGACCAACTGCATGTTATAATAACCCGCAGGTTGATTAGATGAGTCAGTAAATACATATAAGACATTTATATGAACTGGGCTCCTAGTACCGTACAGCTATTTAGGAGAGTTATTTACCTAACATATTCATGGCTAATTACCTCGCCTATTTTTGTTGGCACTTACAGAGTGTCAAAGTTACGTCACATTTACGGCAATCAATCGATCTGCAAACAACGACAAGCCGGGGTCACTGTGTGATGATAAATTACCACGAGGCTGGTACAGGTTCGCGGGGCCTGCTGGGAATATGATGCCGACCACATGTGTCCCGGTGAGACACTGTGGGACTCATGCTCCAGGATGGTTTAGCGGACCTCATCCTGCAGTGCACGAAGGGGCGGTTAGACGTGATGTATGTTTTCACTGGAGAAGCTGTTGTTCTTGGCGGAATTCAGTCCTAGTGCGCAACTGTGGTGCCTTCTATGTGTATTACCTTTCTCCAACAGTAACGTNAAATACCCAAGAACTGAGGAAACATTTGGGGAGTGGTTTGGCCCCTACGTGTATATATTTTTGACGGATGGTGCTTTATGATCACCAGGCTGGCTAAGAGTTAAATTACTGGCTAATATGACACAGTTTTACGCAGAACTGTGTACGTACAGTGCAAATCCGAAATGCAGTTGAAAACTTGAGGTACGATACATTTGCAATCTAAGAGGGAGTTTCGGCAATCCTTTACTGGTCTCCATCTTGATCGACTTGAACTACCGGTGAAAGACCTTTCCCAACCGACCAGCTGGTTAGTGCTGAATTCTTTATCAATAGATCTCCTTTCTTTGACTTGTAGAGTGTGTCAGTTATTCCTATCTTGACTCCGCCGATAGATCGATGAACTTCAAAGCTAATAGTGCACAGCCAGCTGAATGCGACGACTCTCTGCAGCAAGGTTGGTACAGGTTTAGAGGTGACGCAGGTGATCAAATGCCTACTTCTTGCGTGGCTGAATTTTACTGCGGCGCACATGCACCAGGCTGGCTTTCAACAAGTCATCCAACAGTAGCCCAGGGTGCTGTGCGCGCCAAAGTGTGTTTTCATTGGGGCAAAAGATGCTGTTACTGGTCGATGAACATCACAGTTCGTAACTGCAGTGGGTTTTACGTGTATAAACTGAACAAGCCTCCAAAGTGTAGACTGCGTTACTGCGGGAACGGAGCGCAAGGTGAGTAAGAAGTTTAGGTGAATTCTTTGCTGTCAGTAATATTTTCAGATCTGGTAGACTCGGTAGAATGTATAATTACAGAAGTCTCTTTATAGATTGCACTATTTCACATGCAGTAGCATCTTTTCATTATATACTGTATCCAGGAGGTGTATGTAAAGTCGATTAACACAGGTTTCAAGAAATGATCTAGGGAGGTGTTTTGTCGCCAATATTATTCTGAAGGGAAAGTGACCGATTAGGGTTTCCGCGGCTGAACAAACAGTATTGATGCGCCCCTTAAGCATGTGTATTGAGAAATATATTTGATCATCTCATGAAGGAACACAGCCTTCGATTTTTGCAAAACTGTGCGTGATACTTTTCTCTCATTTTGTTTCGTTAGCTCCCACCACAAACCCAGCTTCACCTTCAAGTTCGGAGTCAAGTCAAACTTTACCGACAAGTCCTTCAAATCCTTCAGGTATCGTTCTGTGCTGTTTTCTTTCTTTTTTTTTTTTTTCCTCTGTCTTGACGTTTGAACAGCTTTCAGTCATTGTGTCTATTCAAGCTGGCTTGGAAAATGTTTCTTGCTGTTGTGATTGCTGATTACCACTGCGCTGTAGTCGTAGTTTCAGTTCACTCGTCTCCTTGTTGATTGTCTCTGTTTGATGCATTTATCAAATGAAACCTTAAAATAATCTATAATATGAATAAAATAAACCAAGACGGTAGCTTTTTGGGGGGACCAAGAAGCCAAACAGAGTTGAATCAGAAAGATTTATGTGGATTACGAACAATAAACTGTAAAAAATCTAGAAAGTCGTCAAAGAGCAGGGTTACCTTTGAACTAACGTCCTTGTCTATGGTATCAATGCATGTCTTTCTGGATGTAATTAGTTGCAACCGCTATCTTACCTTTTTCATATGTCTTTAACCGGTCGTGCACTGTCTATTCCATAAGTATTACCTGAGAAAACGGTTTAAGTTTTATTGCCGAATTTCCCTCAGAATGTTTAAACTACAAGTTCCTGAACGAATCTAACCGAGCTCAAGGATATTCAAGCAGTAACCGCCTTGCATTGTGCGACGAAAAACTCTCAGAAAGCTGGTACAGATTCAGTGGAGGAGCTGGTGATAAGATGCCTGACTACTGTGTCGATAAATTAAGCTGTGGCACGCATGCGCCGGGCTGGTTAAATACAACCCATCCTTCAGTAGCCGACGGAATTGTTGAAACCAATGTTTGTTTTCATTGGGGATCTGACTGCTGTTATTGGTCGGCAACTATCAAAGTTCGGAACTGTGGAGGGTTCTTTGTTTACCAGTTAAACCATACACCCTACTGTAACCTTCGCTATTGTGGAAACAAAAAGCAAGGTAGGAAAAACCGTATAACAAAATGGCATAGCTAGCAACAGATTTTGGCAGATCGCGTTAAGTATGGCTTTTAAAAAAGTGAATTTTATGGAGTAAATGGTAGTAAAGTGTATTGAAGAGTATTATAGAAAGTTCATTATGGGGAAATACCTCGATCTTTGGTTTCTTCGACGTGCACAGAGAAGATACTATTTTTATCTTTCACATACGAGGATGCTGATGTCATTGTACGGACATCGCTATTTTTTTGAACGTCATTGAAGTTGAATTTGTTGATACCATCAGCAGTCGAATATAAAATTTTAATCACCGCACGGTCCTGTAATATAGCCTCTATGTATGATAAATATTCGGTTTTGCTAATAACAGCGTCTTGTTTTAATTTCAGAGCCATCGACAACTACACCACATTCCTCAAAACCCACTGCTCGTCCCACCCGTACACCCTCTCCCGGTAGGTATTGTTCAACACGCATTCTACTTTTTCATCTACTTGAAAGTTGGGTCATCATTATAAACTGAAATGTGAGTAGGTTGTCTTTAGTACTGATATAACCTGCCCATTTGACGTAATATTAGTTTTTTGGAAAAGATAGCTGAGCGTAAGAAGCCGATTATAAAAAAATCCCGTCCATACCATGCTTAATACATGAATAGTAATGTAATTTAATAATAATAATAATGATAATAATAATAATAATAATAATAATAATAATAATAATAATAATAATAACTCTCCTTTCTACCGCCCACCTTCTCAGGCGGGCCCTCTCCACCAAGTAGAAACCCTCTTTGCCTCCCAAAGTCCATGGTTTGGACTCGGATGCTGCGAGAGAAAATCACCCATAATAATAATAATAATAATAATAATAATAATAATAATAATAATAATAATAATAATAATAATAACAACAATTTTTTTTAAAAAAAAATACTACTATCATCATCATAACATTAATTAACATATTCCATACAAATTGGTATATAATAATAATAATAATAATGTTTATTAGTGGCTTATAAAAATTCTTAGGACAATATATATGTCAGGGAAATACTAACTTACAAACGAATAATAATAATAATAATAATAATGATAATAATAATAATTAACTATTACATTGAAACAAGATACACATGAGATATGGAGATGCTGTTATGAAGGGGTTGAGTGAATTATGTTATTAGTGGCTTATTCTCTGTGTTCGTTGAGGTATTTCCTAATTCTATAAATCTAGCCTGGGTCGACTTGTCGCCTTTTTGCTACCCATTGTCAGAATGTGACTTACATTTACAGATATAACTCTTCAATGGAATATGAGGACTTTTAGTTACTAATTCTGCGCTTCTAAGTAGAAAATCTGCAGGGCTTTCTTGCTTGCAGGGATCCCCTGAAATTAATTGCTCCCTATTTTTTAACACCCTTCTAATTGCTGGGTCGACAGTAGTATAGAAGCTTTACAGAGAAAATCCGTCATTTGAGAAATAGGGTCCACAAGCTCTTCATTTTTGTATATTGTGAACCTGGCAATAATTACGTTAGTTAAGCGTATATAGTGATAATTCAAATCCGTTCTAAATATTCAATTTTTCGTTTATCTTCACCTGTGCAAAGAATGTACCAGATACAGAGTACTACGCGGTAGCGATCGTTCGCAAAGCTACGAGTATAAAAACATTCAGGGCGCCAAACCTAAATGTGATCGACGCCTGGCTAAAGCCTGGTACAGATTCATGGGATTGGCGGGAAACCGGATGCCAGAAACCTGTGTTTCTTCCTATCACTGTGGTACCCATGCCCCTGGATGGCTTCGTGGAGTACATCCCGACGTCTCTGAAGGAGTGGTGTCAAGAACGGTGTGTTTCACTTGGCGCAACAAATGCTGCAGCTGGCGCAGTACAATCTTAGTCAGAAATTGTGGCAATTTTTATGTCTACAAATTACAAAGAGCTCCAAAGTGCAAACTTCGTTACTGTGGTGTTGGTGTAAACGGTAGGTGACTGCATTTGTCTAATGACTTTTATGCAATTTAACGGCTTAAAGCAAATATCCTTTGAAACATTGCAAAATGATATTCAACGCTAGATTACTTTGCACTAGAATGGTTAACAACTCTTTCGAAGTCACATAAAGTCTAAGTCAGTGAGAAGTATCTATACATGTATATCAAATAGCTAAATATAACCAGGGCCATAGCCAGAAAAAAAAAAATTGACAGAGGCAATACCCATGAAAGAATTATGACTAAGGCTACGTCCCTGGTTAATTTCTCCTCCAAGATATTGGATAGTGTTTATGATGACTATAAACAACAAAAACGAAAAAATAAATATATAACTCAAGCAAGTACCTCGGTTTGCCTGTTACTAGCTACGGCCCTGAATTCACTTACAATACTGGACAACTTAAGATTTTTCACCACTGCCGAAATTTTATTATTTGACTTCATTGTATTACCTCGAACAGCATTGACGACGGCAAAGCCAACGACGGCAAAGCCAACTACAACGCAGCCTCCTCAACCTACCCCCACAAGTAAGTTCATTAGGTTTAAGAGCCTTATAAGCATTCGTCAGTGCCTGTAATGTATTGTTCTTTAACCCTTTTCACATTCTACACTCGGAACTACTATTTTTGTTTGAAATGAAATCCCAATATATTCATTCGCCAGGTTGAAAATAAAAAGGTTGACAGAAGAAGGCAGCTTTCAATCGTGTTTTTCATTTTCAAAAATTGAACACAAACGACCACAAATTTGTTTAAAGTTTTAATACACGATATTTGTTTTCTGAAATTTCAGTGAACAGCCCCTTCTTGTTTGTCCTCCAATACTTCAGGGTTGAGTTTATCCAGATTGCATATCGGGATCGGTGAAGCCTGAATAAGACGAACAAAGAACAGCCACCAGTTATAAAATGAACTTTATCGGTGCTCAAATTCTGCAGTTTTTAAAGGCATGCCTCAGATTCAATTGATCTATTCCCCAGGTTATTTTCTTATTTCTATTTATACATAACTGAATTTACGAAAACCGTGTCAATGCGGAAAATGTGTTCCCTTGTACCAAATGACCTAACTACACACTTTGATTTCAAGACTCCTAAGATCCTAAAAATCACCTTACGAGCGATGAAAAAAAAAAGAAATACTGACATTCCTTTCAATTTTTACGTCGCCTTCTTTGGCAAAAAAAGTCCTTGACCAGGGCCAGATGTTTCATATATCCGGACATATATTTAATTATTTATGTAACAATCTGAAAAAAGAACTTCTCACCCTTTCTCATCACAAGTAAGCCATCTAACTCAGTATTTGTGAGAGTCAAAAGAAATTCGGTTTTTACTGACCTGACAATTAACGTTTTTAACAAAAGGTGCAAGTCTTCCTGCAGTTCGTGTAAAGGAAAGCAATGTATCTTGGTTTTAAACAGCGGGATCGTATAAGCTTGCACAACCGGGGTTTGAGATCCATACAATCTATGGACACACAAAGTATGCGCAGTGGTTAGTCTTCGGGACAATCCTCCAATAACAATATCACCTATATACTGTTGCAGAGGTACGCAGAAGTACCATTACGCATTTCAAACACAAGCAGGTAAAACGCAGAAACGAATAGAGAAACGAGAAAGGAGTGAATGTTTAGGATTTCAGTAAAACTCTGCTGAAGTAACAGAACAGAACAGCCTCTTGGAAGTAAGACGTAAAACGGGAGCTGAATTGGTTAACTAAAATGGTCGGTATCAAACTGAAACAACTAACAAAAGACATATCCATGGACAATACATTGCACAACTGTGAACGTTTTTATCAAAGCAAGAAAGCGATATTATACAGTACCCCCAAAGGAGATGTCTGCAGATTTGTCTCGGCTCTCGACGAGGGCTGTGGCATGGTATGACAACAGAATTGGTACGAAAAGAACAGCTAGGAAAAAACACAATTTAAACATGGCTGAGGTCAATTGTCAAGGTTCAAGAGCAAACGACCAACTCCTTTGGCGAGCAGCTGAAGAACAACACTCTTCTTTTCTCCTTTTATAGTTCTATCTCCCACTCAATTTGTGGTCAAGGTAAATATAGATATAGCCGGACACGTGGCCTTCGCAACAGGTGCGATACGTCAACGAAGTCCGCAATCAAACAAAAAAAAATTAATAATAAAATAAAATAAGGCATAATGTTGCGGCGCGTTTGTCACTTTGGTTTTCATGGCAGCCGTAATGCATTCTGGAAATACAGAAAAAAAAAGGGGGAAATAAATAGCGAATATAAAAAATGAAATTAAAACAATAGGCTTTAATTTCTTAGGACAAGTTCCGTATGGACGTCCGCAACCTCAATTGAAAAGTACACAAACAAGGTACGCGCGGGGAGCAAAACCAACGTCAAATTTGCAGGCTAACAAGTAATCTTAAAATCGATTAGAATCTCCCACAATCCCGGTGTGGTGCGGCTGTTATCCTCGCGTTTCTTGCTGTGAATAATATTAGTGCCTATGAAGTAAAATTGTTTTCCGATATTTATGATATATACCGTTTGAAATACGTGATTCCAAAGTTAAGATGTTTACGGTAAAATTGACGATTGTACAAGCCCTCAAAGTTGTGGCACTGTGTTCTCAAAAACGGTATTCGAATATAAAATACACAATGAGAACGATCTAATAAGGTCTGCGGTTCCTTTATTGGTCTTATCTACTTCTTCCGACAAACAGGGCTACCTAAGGAAGCAATCAACCTCACAGCCTGGGTCCACTGATAAGCACATATCAAATTAACTGCAATTAGCTTGTGGTAACTTATGTAAACTGATATGTTGTCCCTTTCAAGAGAGCAAAAAAAAAAAAA